TACCTAAGAAACATACCAAGAATTGTGTTTTATAGAAAGCCCCCGCCCTTCCAGAAAAGAGTCGTGAAAGATATTAGACCCACTTTACTTTTTCTTTTTTTGAGGAAGATTGGCCCTGTGCTAACATCTGTTGCCAATCTTCCTCTTTTTTTCTTGTTCCTCCCCAAAGCCCCAGCACATAGTTGTATATCATAGTTTTAGAGTTGTAGCTCTTCTATGTGGCATGCAGCCTCAGCATGGGTTGATGAGTGGTGAGTAGGTCCACACCCAGGATCCGAACTGGTGCACCCCGGGCCGCCAAAGCAGAACATGTGAACTTAACCGCTATGCCACCAGGCCGGCCCCTGGGCCCACTTTACTCTTTCAAGTACGCTCTTTCCTCAACTCTGGGTCTGAGCGCAGTTCATCACCTTTAGAGCCAGTTGTGTTGAAGGCTTGTGAGATAATAGAAAATACGTATTGGTGTCTGCCCCCAGCTCCTGACAGGGCTCCTGGCACCCTTGGAATTTCCCGGGCGATAGGAGTGTCTTTTGCTCTAATGAGGTGACTCTGGGTGGGCTCCTGAATGGGGTCTGGTCACTGGAAAGACCAAGCAAGGATTAGAAGCTTAGAATTTTCAGCCCTGCCCTCATTCTCCTGAGAGGGGAGAAGGAATGAAAATGAAGCTAATGATGGATCTTGCCGATGTGATGAGAGACTCCATAAAAATCCCAATAGTACAGGGTTCATAGAGAGCTTCCAGGTTGGTGAACAGATGGAGGTGTGGGGCGGGTGGTGAACCGGAGAGGGCGTGGAAGCTCCGCCCCTTCCCGCATGCCTGGCTCTACTCATCTCTTCTACCTGGATGTTCATCTGTTTGCTTTATCACTTCCTTTAATAAACTGCTGAACACAAGTAATGTTTCCCTGAGTTCTATGAGCTGCTCTAGCAAATTAATGAAACCCAAGGAGGGGTCGTTGGAACCTCTAATCTGTAGGTGGTTGGCCAGAAGCACAGGTGACGACTGCAGTGTGTGTGTGTTTGGAGGATGGGAGGCGGTTAGGGGCAGTCTTGTGGACCTGAGCCTTACCTGTGGGATCTGACGCTATCTCTGGGTACATGGTGTCAGAATTGAGTTAACATGTAGGACACCCAGCTGGTGTTGTAGAGAATTGCTTGGTGTGGGGAAAACCTCCACACACTGGTGACCAGATGTCTCAGAAGTGAAGACTTCTCTGTGAAGGTACAGGAGACACACACAGGGAAGAAACTCACGGGGGAAGAGCTGGGTTGTTCCCAACACAGAAGATGAGAAACTGTAGGTTTCCTTTACGAGTCTTCACCACATCAGCCCAGCCCATCCTCCAGGAGGATCTCCTTGCTGATCTATCTGCCAGCTTACGATTCTGTGCTTTTGAAAGTTATTTTTGTTTTTTTCTTGCTTGATGGGGTCATGTTAGGAGTTTCAACTGAGATGATGTTGCTCATGGAAGTCACAGGATTAGTGGGACGATTCTTCGGAAACTGTCCGTGGCAGATTCAGACAATACCTGGGTTGTGGCGGCTCCAAGATGAACCGCTGTGCTTCCTGGAACCTGGCTGACATGCTCTGTGTTACAGCTGCACGTGGAGGATGTGTCTGGGGCTGTGTCTCTGTCCAGGAAATCTATTAACCAGGCTTTGGGATCACCATTTTGACCCCATATTGAAAGGAAACTGGACTGAGTTCCCAGAAACTTCCCTCTCCTTTAGAAATAGAATGTAATGCTTCTAGTCCATCTCCTGGTCCTTGTTGGCACTTGTCACAGCCTTGACAGTTGATGGCCCCAGCAGATGGGGTGCCTGGGAGAGTGGGGAGAAGCAGACTAAATGTTATCCTGAAATGTCCTTTTCTTCCTTTCACTGTGTATAGAAATGAAATTGACTTTCAAATATTATACTTTTTATCACACTCTTCCTAAGCCAGTTATAAGTTTTAATAATATGTCTTTAGGGTTTGGGGATTTCTAAATACTAAATCTTTTCATCTACTAATCATGCAGTTTAGTTTTTTCCCTTTGTAAATCTTTTACCAACATCTTCTTGCCCGTGGCGGCACTGGCTTGGCCGTCACGTGATAGAATTGTACATATGCGCGTCCTCACCTCCTTGTTCCTGATCTCAGAAGGACAGTGTCCACATTTCGTGTTAAAGAGGAAGTTGGCTGTAGTTTTCTGTAGACACCATTTTTTTCTGATTATGCATGTTCCCTTCTAGTCTGTCAGTGTGTTGTCATTAATGAACACTGACAGGAGACATGCGTGTCTTCAGGTGTGGACAGGAAGCCTATGGTTCCAGTGTCTTTTTTCCATAAAGGCACAAATTATACCCGTTGAAGAATCAATATTTCATCCATCTTGCGTTTTTGGAATAAAATGAAATTGATTCATTATGCTGTTTATGCGTTATGTGTTAGATTTGCTTTTAAAAAGCCCTTTACCTTAGTGTATATGAATGTCATTGTGTGTGAATATTGTTTGAATTGTCCCATTCTGGTGTTGGTAATAATATTCTGCAATTTCTTTCTACAATTTGAAATCACCGATTTTTGAATATTTGGTATCTGATCTGTGAACTATATAAGATTTCCATTTAGAGTGTGTGGATATTTGAATCTACAGATTTCGTTTCTTTAATGAGCACAGACATTCTCCGATGTTCTGGTCACTGCATCGTATCAGGTATGTTTCCTGACGTCAGTACATTTATCCCATTATATCTAATCTAAAATATCTTTTCCCACAAGTGGTTTGTAATAGCTCCTCAGTCTGCTTAATCTCTGAAAATCTGTAATTTTGTTCCTTTTCCACACTTTGTTTGCCAGACTTCTATTGTTTTTGAATAAAATTGCCATTAGCTAAAGAAGGATGTATTTTTTTTTTGTTTTCTTTTTTTTGTTGTTGTTTTTGAGGAAGATCAGCCCTGTGCTAACATCTGCCAATCCTCTTTTTTTGCTGAGGAAGACTGGCCCAGGGCTAACATCTGTGCCCATCTTCCTCCACTTTATATGGGACGCCGCCACAGCACGGCTTGCCAAGCAGTGCATCGGTGCACGCCCAGGATCCAAACCGGCGAACCCTGGGCTGCCGCAGCAGAGCACTTAACCGTTTGCACTACCGGGCCGGCCCCCAAGAAGGATGTATTTTTAACTTGTCTGGATCTATCTTTAAGACGCTTTGGAATAATATTTACATACCATAAAGTTTACCTATTTAAAGTATAAAATTCAGTGGTTTTTAGTATATTTACAGAATTGTGCAACCATCCCGATGTTCTAATTTTAGGATATTTTTATCATCCCAGAAAGAAAACTGGTATCTGCTGACAGTCACTCCGCTCTCTAGTCCACCCCCTCCCTGGGTTCTAGACAATTTATTAATCTACTTCTATGTCTATAGATTGGCGTATTCTGTACAATTCATATACTTGAGATCCTGCTTCATGTGGTCTTTTCTGAAGCTGGTTCCTGTTCTCAAGGTTCATTGATTTTGTGCTGTGGACCAGGACTTCATTCCTCTTATTCTCCAATCATACTCTGTTGTATGAATATTCCACATTTGGCTTATCCAGATCACTTGATGGACTTTTGTTTCCATGTTTCGTCTATTATGAATCATGCTGCTGTTTTGATGTTTATTTCTGCTTCTCTTGGGTAGATGGATACCTAGGAGTGGAATTGCTGTTATATGGTAGGTCTGTGTTCATCATTGAGGACCCGCCAGACTGTCTTCCAAAGTGGCTGCACCATTTACATTCCCATCAGCAACGTGTGAGGGTTCCAGCTTCCTCACGTCCCGCCAGCACTTGTTTGTCCATCTTATAGCCATCCTCGAGGGTGTGAAGAGGGTCTGCTTGTAGTTTCGGTTTGCATTTCCCTGGTGGCTGATGTCTAGCATCTTTTCATGTGCTTATTGCCCAGTTGCATTTCTTTGGAGACATGTCTATTCACATTCTTTGTCCATTATTTAATTATTTTGTTTTTATAACATTGTCTTTCATTTTTTACTGCTGTCATCTGAGTTTTTTAAATATAGTGAGAATACGAGTCTCCTATCAGGTGTGGTTAGCAAACCCCGTTTGCTATCCCAGGTGAGGTACCTGACCTTCTCTGTAGCCGATGTAGTTGGGATTTTTGTTTTTTTTAGATTTTAAGAACATATTTTTTATTTAAACAGTCTGATTTTTTTCATAATTGTTTGCACTTTACTTCATGGGTATGCTATCATTCCAGATTCTTCTAAAGATATTAATTAGGTGTGTTTTCCTCTCTGTTAAAGTCAAGTTTGGCTCCATTACCATGACATTCTTCAGCGACTCTTCTTTGTGGGGCCATATTCCTCAAATTTCTGGCACTTGGTTCTTTATTAGACAGGCCCTGCAGTTTGAGAACTTCTTCAGGAACCAGGCTCTCCTCTTACCCATCAGGTGTGCCTGGCCCCAGGACCTGGCCCACGTCTGTGCCCACAGTGTCCCCCTCATCCTGGGGAGGGGGTCGTGTTTGCCTTTGTCAGATGTGAGGGCATTAGACCAGGGTCTTCAATGTTTTCCCTCCAAGGAGAGATTGTTCAGCTCAGGCAGCACTGGAAATCTCAATGTTCACAACATCCTGATGTTCTGCTTCCAGTTCTTGGAGCTGACAAGGACATAACTTTAGATCGAGCCAAGTGTCCATTTCCATGATATCTGAATGGTGATTCCCTTTTTCAGTCTTTACCTCAGAATCTGCTCTATCTGAGGAAAAATAATTCTTATAATCATGCATGTATAAGTCTATCAATTGTTGTGCTTGCACTTTGCTTCACATTTCCAAGCATTTACCATCACTGCATATACTGCATTTGATTTGCTTCTTTATTGTCATTTCCCACGAGAGTGTGAGCTCAGGAGTCCTAGGAATTGAGTGCAGGTCCCTGACTCTCATCCTCCCACACACACTGCTGAAATTGGGGCCTGGCTGAAATAGAGTGTGTGGGCTGTTTCAGGACTCAGTGGTCTTTGAGGACGTGGCTGTGAACTTCACCCCGGAGGAGTGGGCTTTGCTGGATGGTGCTCAAAGGAAGCTCTACAGAGATGTGATGCTGGAGACCTGCAGGAACCTGGCCTCAGTGGGTGAGGACGGTTTCATTCCTTCACTTAGTCTTTTAGGGAACAAATATTTCTTACAGTTGACCTTTCTTATGATGACCAAAAATGGGAATATGTGGGAAAAAAGAGAGCCACTGTCCAAGCTTTTTGGAACCACTTAGAGTCAAATAGCTTTTCCATGAAAACAAGTTTCATTTATTAAATGGACTTTTTATTAGTCTTGATGAAAAGTCTGAGGGTCTCTAATTTTATAAGCTTGAGCATAAGCTCTTGTGTCACTTTGGGACAGTGAGAGCAGCTTTATGGTTTCCACCCTGTGACAGTTAGACTGTGGTTAACACACAGTTGACATGGTAACTTTGCTACGATTAACCTCACACTTATCTATCATCACTGGTCTTGAAGACAAAGTATGGGCCCATCTCATGGAATGTTTGTTCCCCTCCATCCTCCCTCATGGTGAGCTCTTCTCCTCGAGTAGTCACCAGCCGCACACACCATCCATGTCCCATGGCAGCTGGGGCCGTGGAGAAAGGCTTCCTCTAGGGCCTCTGTGCCTGAGAACACCAGGAGAGCAACCACCCTCAGAAGGAACAGGTTCTGGATGAGGAACTGATGTTTGGACATGTCCACTTAGAGATGTAACACAGTCACTGAGAGAGTGACGTGTGTCATTTACCTACTTCCCTGTTAAATTTTCATCCATCCTCTCGCCCTGGGGAAGACTGTCTCTATCTCCCCTTATAAGGGGAGCATTTGAGGATGTGCCTTTGCCCAGTTCCTTCCTACTTTGCTTTCCTGATAGTATTTATTTCAACATCACTCTCCATCTCTTTTGAAGTATTTCTTAATGAAAAGGCTGCAATTTTGACTCATTTTCCCTGCTTTTACCAAGGTCCCAAATAGCTGAGGTCCTGAGAGTTTTTCTTTGTTTGCGTGTCCATTCTTCCTTATAAAATGTGTTTACATTTTGGAGCAGTGTGTGAAAAGAAATCCACATACGGTCTATTTTCTTTTTTTATGCCACCATTTCTTTCCCAAGAAATTAAATTATGCCACTGATTGTTGCAGATTGTTGCACTGAAGTTAAAAGAAGTGGATCATTTTCTCAGTGGGACTTTTTGGAGAATGAAATATCCAGTGAAGAGAAAATAGTAACATTCACAGGAAATGATTCCTGGTCTGTTTTTGGAGAAAGCTGGACATTTCATAACATTGGAGATCAGCACCAAACCCAGGAGAGATGTGTGAGGTGAGTGGCATTCCCACAGGAGGTATGGGATCTCAGCAGAGTGTTACTCTCACTTGACATTTTAAAAAAAAGTAGAAACCTAGCTACACAATTGTGTCCTCAAAGAATTTTCACAAAACAAGATTTTCATAAATGGGGTGTAGATATTGAGCATCTGAAACACAAATCAATAATGATTCCTGATCAACAATGATCAGGAAACCTTGTATGTAATAAATTCTGAAAGCTATGGCTATATTTGTGCCCTCAGCCAGAGCACTTATTTTTTCCACTTTGTAACAACGCAGACAGTGCCGAAAACATACCTATTCATTGTAAATGGCCAGTGCCTAGTCAGAATAATCATTGAGGACTGTCAATAAATCATTAATAAGGAAATCACTTATAATCATTAGTCCCTAACGGTGTGCTTCCTATTTTGAACAGAAGTCGTTTCGTGGAGGGTCTCTGTGAAAGGAATGAAGGTGATCACTGTGGAGAAATTCTGGACCAGATTACAAACCTTCCTGTGCATGACTGTTATCTGACTGGAGTTAAACCCAGTGAATGCACGAAGTGTGGAAAATCCTTCACGGATTGTTCTTTCCTTAGGAATCAGCAAAGATCTCACACTGGAGACAAACATTATCCATGTGAGGAATGTGGGCAGCCCTGCAGTTGTGTCTCATGCCTGAGTACTCACATGGAAACATACTTTGTAGAGAAACCAAATATATGTCAGGATACTGGGAGAGCATCTAAGAGAAATGTGAGGAGTCTGGGTCGTAAAAAGTCTTTTGAGTGTAAGAAATGTAGACAAGCTTTCACTTGCCCCTCATCCTTTCAGGGACATGTGAGACTTCACTCTAGACAGAAAATCCATGTATGTAAGGTATGTGGGAAATCCTTTATGTATGAGTCCTACCTTACACGGCACATGAGAACACACACTGGAGAGAAACCCTATGAATGTCAGGAGTGTGGGAAAGCCTTCAGTTATCCTGCATCCCTGCAAGGACACATGAGGATGCACACTGGAGAGAAACCTTACGTGTGTAAGGAATGTGGGAAAGCCTTCGGTTGTGCCAAATACTTTACTGTACACGTGAAAACACACATTGGAGTGAAACCCTATGAATGTACAGAGTGTGGGAAAGCCTACAGTTGTTCCTCATCCCTCCGAGAACATATGAGAATGCACAGTGAAGAGAAACCCTATGAATGTAAGGAGTGTGGGAAAGCCTTCAGGCATCCTCGATACTTTCAAAGACACGTGAGAATGCACAGCGGAGTGAAACGTTATGAGTGTAAGGAATGTGGGAAAGCCTACAGTTGTTCCTCATCCCTTCGAGAACATGCGAGAACACACACTGGGGAGAGACCCTTTGAGTGTCAGCACTGTGGGAAAGCCTTCACTCGTCACTCCTCCCTTCGGGGACATGTGAGAACGCACACTGGAGAGAGAGCATATGAATGTTCACACTGTGGGAAAGCCTTCCGTTGGCCCTCATCCTTACAGAAACATGTGAGAACACACAATGAAGAGAAACCCTATACATGTCAGCAATGTGGAAAAGCCTTTTGGTATCCCGCCAACCTGCGAGCACACATGAGAACACACACTCGGGGGAAGCCCTATGAATGTCAGTTCTGTGGCAAGACCTTCAGGCATCCCGCAAATCTGCGAGTACATGTGACAACACACACTGGGGGAAAACCATGAATGTAAAGATTATGGGAGAGCTTTCATTCTCCCTTAAAACCTTGTTGTAAATGCAAGCAAACACACTCGTATGAACGGAAATATTGGGAAACCTTCAGGTATATCACCTCACTCATTCTACTTGAAAACTCAGGGCAGGACAGAAATCTTTTAATTGTTATATATATGGTTTTCTCTTTGTAAGTGTATCATCCTGTGTAGGGATCCCCATTGTATTAATTTCTAGTTCACGTTGCTGATATGAACACTGAATAATATCCTATGACCCTATCATCTGTACTACATATATTTTGTTGTCTCAGATTTTAAATATGTGTACATTTATATAAAAGTTGTCTCATTTCCATTAAATGTCTTTGGGACCCAAGGGTGCTAAGTGGTTTTTTTTTTCATGTGCAACTTGATACAATTTTAGACAAAAGTATATGATCATGATATGAGACCTGTATTGCTGAAATGTATTTTCTGGTCCACTCCTGCACATACCAGAATTTTCTGGCTCCATATCTCCCTTCTTCTTCAGTCTTTATTATTGAAATGTGTATCCTCCACATTGTTTATTGCTAGTAGATACCACATCTGTGTTCCTCACAGAAGTTAGCAATTGTGGAAAGATCTTGAAAGAGGACAGTCCTTTCTGATTATGTTCATAATTTGACCTCTGCTCATTGTCCTTGATCTTGGAAATGGACATGATGCATTGAGTTCTGGAGAGCTGTGGCCTGAAGATGAGAGCTGATGTCCAGATGCTTCTACTGAATTGTGTTGTCAGCTTGGGCGAGAGGGGAAACCATGTATCCCAGAGTCCTTCTGTTTGTGGTTCTGAGGTAAAGTTCAGGAGCAGAGGAAGGTGCATGAGGTTTGGAAAGGAGAAGTGAGGAAGCCATGACTCTCAGATCTTCTGTCCTGTCAGGAGACAGGTGCATGGGAACCTGGTGGGCCTGCATCACAGCACACTCTTCTGACTTCTGGCTCTGCCTGTCTGGAACAGCCCCCATCCAAAGTCCATGTTTGACGTGAGTTCCCTCTCAGGCAGCAGATTCCACAGACTCTCCCACGAGCTACCCCATTGTGGACCCTCTTTGCTTTTCTTTTTTTTTTTTTTAAAGATTTTATTTATTTTATTTTTCCCCCCAAAGCCCCAGTGGATAGTTGTGTGTCGTAGCTGCACATCCTTCTAGTTGCTGTATGTGGGACTCGGCCTCAGGATGAACGGAGAAGTGGTGCCTCGATGCGCACCTGGGATCCGAACCCGGGCCACCAGCATCACAGCGCGTGCACTTAACCACCAAGCCACAGGGCCGGCCCCTGCTTTTCAGGTTGACACAGTTCCGTGCATTTTCCTGCAGCTCTTTGGTGTCCTTCAGACCACTTCAGGCTGTCATGGTGATCTTCTCATCCTGGGCCTGCTTCATTTCCAAGTCTTCTAATGACTGGTCTCTAAATGATAAAACCAGTATGTTTAATTAGTTTCTAAATTTATATGTGATTACCCAGTGTTTAGTTCTTTCTTTATGTTATTCAAAATAATGTACGCTTTTTTTGTCAAATACAGTTCTCTAGATTGTTTCTTAGAAAGCACACGTTACTTATTTTTTCAAATCTGTTGTATACTTACAAGTGTTATGTTTTATGTTTCATTAACTGATAGGATATGTTAAAATATTCCATTCTAGAGAATTAACTTATTCTTGTAATTGTGTCAGTTTTTCTGTATATGTTCTGGGGTAATAGTACCAACAACATATACCTTTTCACATCTTTCTTTCTGGTGTGTTTTTGTTTAATTCTTATGCTGCTACCGTGATTCTCATTAAAGTGCCTTATTCATTCCTAACAGTGAAACCCTAAGTATTGCTTGTGTCACTGGTCTCCAGCGAGACCAGGGAGTCCTGGTCTTTCAGATCGACAGTGTGGGAGGCAGAACTGGACGTATATCTTCCCTAGTTGTCTGTGGACAAGTAGGACCAACAGTATTCCTGGTGAGGGAGCACTTAGTCGTGGTGGGAATGAGTTAGGAGAACTACAGTTTATAGACATAACTGCCTTGAGTAAACTACCAATTTCTGGAAATTCTGCTTCTGTTTGTTTTCCAAATAGCTCTTAGTGGTTTGATGGAAAATCAATACTCGAATGGAAATATCTTGTCCCTGTCTCCTTGTTAGCAGTAATTGTGCTGAGGAACTACAGGACTTTCTCCCTATGATGGGTGACCCATTGATGATGATCTTGCCCAGGGATGTTCTTTGTGTTATTTCCACTGGATGACACTCGTGGTCCTGTTACTCTGCCCCCGTTGACAAAGGTCAGAGTCTCCCTCTGTGTCTGATGGCCTCCAGGGGTGCTTTTCTGGCCCTAGGCGTGGTGGACGTCTTGTTGTAGTTTGGGTGGACCTGGCTGGGGCTTCATGTCTCAGAGGATGTGTAAGGTGACTGGTCCCCCAGGGACTTGAGAGAGAAAATGGTCAGTAAAGATGTCTGTACAGCCTTTCCAGAGAGGATGCCTGTGCCTCAGTGATTGCAACCATTGTCAGAATGGACTTTCCTGTCTAGTGTCATCTACTCAGTCAATATGACCAGTGTTTATGGGGACCCCAACATACTGATGAGGCTTGGTACAGCTGCACTGACCTGTACCCACATGCAAGGTGTGGACCACAACCACACTGTGCAGTTTCCCCACCAGTGGAAAGAGCCCATACTTGACATTTTCCATGGGTCTCTCGCTTTTCCATATCAGAACCATGAGATTCCTGATTTGAAACATTTTCTACCAATAGTTATCCTTCTAGATACCCAGAGGGTGTTTTCCTTGTGAAGTTATGGTTCTGTTGTTTTCAGTGCTCACAGAATGCTCACAGTGGGGATGCCCACTGAATGCTGTTTGGACGCTGTGACTCTGCACCTGTTCTGTGTGCTTCTAGGGGATGGCCAGTCGTGTGGGGCCACAGAGGGGGTACAGGGAGGCTCAGGGGACACATTATACTCAAGTCCTAGAGAGACAGTCACTGCAGCCCAAGAAGGGGTGACACTAGGGGAACACCAAGGGAGCAGGTGTGACCAAGCAGGTGGGGAGCAGAGAGCATGGGGATCTGTGGGCGAGTGCCTGCAGGGCCTACATTAGTGTGGAGAGTAACTTGAGCCTAGAGTGCGTGCCTATGAAGGATGCTCAACATTCAGCACCAATGAGTATGGACTCTGAAAAGATAGGCTTGATTTGAATTATGGTCCTTGGTTGGTTCCTTCCTATCTGTGGCATCTGGCAAATCAACTACATACATAGCATCAGTTAATTCATCCAAGGAGATAATAAAGTATCTACCTTATAGAGTTTGCTGAGGAGGAACTAGATTTTATATGCTTAGTCACTTTATGAAAAACATTTAAAACAGTGCCCTACACAGAGTAAGAAATATGTCGGTGTTCACAAAGTAAATAATGGCAAAGGCAGTCTCAGACACTGGGAAGCTGACCTAACACTGCTGTGAGTGGGTTGTGGCTTCCTCATTTCAGGAAAAACAATTTCACCATCTCTGTCATCGGACGAGGCAAATCCGTGACTGTGATGGTTCAAGACAAAAGAAAGAGCACATTATAGTCACGTGCAGAAAAAGGTGACAAATGGAACAGAAGCCAAAGCACACAAATGAGCAAACCTTCCCCACTTCTTGTTTTAGCTGCACTCTGTTCGTTCTGCTTTCTACATAAGAACTCTTAAGATCTCCAACCATAAAATTGTGTTTACCTCCTGACAGCATTGAATCCAGAGTAAAGGAAGACTTACTGCAACACTCAAGTCAAGTCTTGTCACACAAGTCTGAATGTTTGATATATTCTGTGTCCAATATGTCCTAATGTCCTGTGTGTTATCATATGTCCCTCTTACTGACACACCTACAGTCCTACAGAGCTGTGAGCATCCCCCCTGAGAGAACTGAGTGCTCTCAGTCAGTACACCCCACTTTCTTTGACTACTCGTGTGATCCTGGTGACATTTTCCAAGAGACCATTGACAAAAATCATTATTTTACTCTTCTTAATGAATGATAAGTTATTTTAGCGGCAAAAGTTTTAAGTATATAGGAATAAATACTTACCTGAAAGAAAAAAATCTCTAAACTTATATCGTCCTGGTACTATTGACAAAGAATGCTTAAGAAAATTGACTAAGAATTCTCTTAAATTGAGAAAATTGCAAGTCTGATGTGACAACCTATAAATGCAAAGGGATATTTTTTTAGTGATGTTTTAATAGTTTTTAACATTGTGAAATTTTGGGCTGTACATTTTTTTTGTCCATCACCATATATATGTCTCCCCTCACCCCTTGTGCCCACCCCCCACCCCCATTGCCCCTGGTAACCACAATACAGTTTTCTCTGTCCATGTGTTTGTTTATATTCCACATATGGGTGAGATCATACAGTGTTTGTCTTTCTGTCTTACTTCACTTAACATAATACTCTCCAGGCCCATCCATGTTGTTGCAAATGGGACGATTTTGTCTTTTATTATGGCTGAGTAGTATTCCATTGTGTATATATACCACATTTTCTTGATCCAGTCGTCAGTCGGGGGACACTTAGGTTGCTTCCACTTCTTGGCTATAGTGAATAATGCTGCAATGAACATAGGGGTGCATAAGCCTCTTTGGATTGTTGATTTCAGGTTCGTTGGATAGATTCCCAGTAGTGGGATGGCTGTGTCATAGGGCATCTCTATTTTTAATTCTTTGAGGAATCTCCATACCGTTTTCCATAGAGGCTGCACCAGTTTGCATTCCCACCAGCTGTGTATGAGGGTTCCTGTTTCTCCACATCCTCTCCAACATTTGTTGCTTTTTGTCTTGGTGATTATAGCCATTCTAATGGGCGTGAGGTGATACCTTATTGCTGTTTTGATTTGCATTTCCCTAATGATTAGTGATGTTGAACATCTTTTCATGTGCCTATTTGCCATCTGTATATCTTCTTTGGAGAAGCGTCTGTTCATTTCCTCTGCCCATTTTTTGATCAGGTTGTTTTTTTGTTGTTGAGATGTGTGAGT